GGAGAGTATATACCCAAGTACCTGGGCTACACTGTACATCTAATATATAGGATGGGCCTTTACACACCTGGAACTAAGAATAAGGACCAAGAGCTTTGATTCCTAAAAAAGGAGCCTGACTTTTCATGGTCTTGCATTTAGTGTAATTATGTATCCTTGTAAGTGTAAAACGCTAACAAATCAGGATTTTCCACCTGGCCTGTAGCATTTTAGACCTATTTTGCACTTGTGTGGCCTGATTTTCTATTGCACTACATCAATAGTGGTATGGTGATGTAAAAGATTTTGGTCCCAGAAGAATGGATTTTGCCCAAAGGAAATGGATACGGAGTAAAGATGGTCCTCAGCTGGTGCATAGCTGGCCAGTCCTCTGCAGAAGGAAGAGGAAGGTGGTACCCTAGAGAATGTTACGTATACCAGGGGGCAGCCGTATAGGAAGCAGACTTTAAGGTCTGTCATAAATATACTGGCAGATAGGGGGCCCATGCATGTGTCTATGGCAGTGCCTTTCATTTGTAGGTACAGGGGGGGTCTCAAAATCTGAAACAGATGGGTGTGAGAACAAAGCACGGGAGTGCGATATAAACAGAAGCAGTGTCATCAGCAAGGATAATGTTCTTTATGCCTTGTAGTCTGTAATCATGAGAGATTTGGGTCTACAGAGACGTGACATCTATGATAGCTAAGAAGGTACCACTCAGTCCTGAATGCTGTCTGACTTCAGACTAAGAGGGTAACTTCCTTCCCAGGATCTAGTGTAGGAAATATACTGGGGAATATGGGGGCATATGCTGTGCTCCAATTATCCTTAACTGTCCATGACCCCTAGGGGGGCCTTGGCAATCTGGACATAAATTAGAGCAGCCCTAATCTTGTTCTAATTTATACAGACTCAAAATGATACACAGGGAACGCATCTACAAATGCAGTTAACTCAACTGAATAAACTCTGGCACAGGTCGCACTGGAGTTTATTGCTCCCAGGCGGCAAGTTTACATGTGCACCCAGAACCACAGCACCTTGAGCTGACCCCACTAGATCAGCCTGTCAGCCTGGAGCTGCTCCAGCCCAGCTCAGAGTGCTGCAGAGTGGCTAGCTGAGGTATGAGGGTGCTCTAGCACAGGGCTAGCCAGTAGACAGTCCCTGCACTGAAGCACCTTCATGCCCCAGCCAGCCTAATCACTGTCTACATATGTGTTGCAATACACTAAATAACACTGCCATAGGATACACAAAGCTCTTGGGTCAGAGCCAATATTTTCTATTAGGCCAAATAAATAGTAGCAAAAAAATCCTTTCTTTGCAAGCTTTCAGGCACATACACCCTTCTTCAGGCTGAGCAGAATTAAAAAATTGTTAAAGTCCCCCTAGATAAAAAATAAACTCCATTTTGCACAGGGGAGGTAGAGGGTGGAAGTTTATTCCCCTGGGTATCTCAAAGTCCTTTTGTGAGAGTGTTGCTCTGTGACAAGCAAAGTAGGCTGTCTTCTTCCATGGAGGTGTCCAATGTCAGAGTCAGACAGGGAAGTGAAAAAAAATCCTTCTTTCTTGCTTAGCAACGAAGTTTACTTTTCCAAATGTTTACTTTTACACGTACTATCCTACAGTGGCATTTATTAGCTTACTGCAGCCAAATAGGGCCATACATGTAGATGCTAAGACTTTACTGTGGAGCTAACTAGTCAGCTCTGCAGTAAATATCTTGTGTAGACATGCCTAGGGAACACCAGATACTGTTCTTCATCTCAGTGATAGACATGGGTATTAATCTGTAAATGTACATGTAATTCTATTGATAATATAGGACCTGATTCCCTTCTGCATCCAAGCTTCTCAAGTGGGATCAAGGAACTCACTAATTGCATGGACCAGTTAAACTGAGTAGAATTAATGCACTGGCATGTGGTGTCAAAGGGCTGGTATAGTGGGACAGAGTACTGTCCCACTATACCAGAGTACTGTCAGACTACTGTCATCCCCAGCTCAGCTTACATCCAGCATGTTCTTTCCATACCCTACTACATTCTGGCTTTGGAAGAGGGTGATATGGTGGTTGGCTGTGCCAGCTTTACATTTACACAGGGAATTCTCAGTTGGCTTCCACCAACCATTGTATCACCTGAGAATCAAGTTTGCAAACCTCTATTTCAGTACTATGTATAAGACTCAATCACTTCACAAAAACATTGAACAGATATTCCATATTCTCCCCAGTAAATTGTAGGGAGGTACATTTTCAAAGGCAATTAACTCCCACTGATTTTCAGAGGATTAGGTGCCTATAGGCATTTTTACCTTTTAAAATTTACTCTCATAAATAGAAAACTGCACATGGCTAAGTTCTAGAATAGGAACAAGTTATAGACCATTTTTCCATATAAAAAACCACATTATCACCCTCCCTTGATCCAAGATACTTCATTTCTCACAGAATCTTTTAGCTTTGAACATCAAATCTCCTATTTTATTAAAAGCATGCTGTGTACAAACCTCCTTTGCTAACAATTCTCTATTTCTTTGTTAAGGTAAAGAAGCCACCTTACTGATGCAAAGTTTGAACAAGATGAATACACCAGAGGAGAAGCTGGACATGTTATTTAAGAAGTATGCTGAGCTGGTTCGTAAAGCATTTGTTGCCTTTTGTGGAATCAATCTATACCTGAAGTTAGAAACAGGATAAGGAGTGCAATAGGCTCTCACAGTATTCATTGTAGACCCTTTCATACAAAATGTGTCCCAGAACACTTTTCTGAGTTAAATAATAAATCATACCCAGAGTACCAAAAAAAAGAAAGGTCAAGGAAGAAAAGCTAAGTTTTTGGAGACAGACAGCTCATGACATAGAACATTTGGAGTTGAAGTGAAATCTGTACAAAAACTTTCAGTAAAATGGAGTATAATTTTGAATTCATAATTTTGCCAACCAGCTGTAAAGCTACAGCCATAATAAAGATTATTCTTCCTCATCAAACCTATTTATTTACCACAGTTTCCAGTCCCTTTGTCAGAAGATTCAATTTTACTCTTTTTATTCTCTCAGTACTCTTTGATTTATCAAGGATCAGAAGAGTTGCTCTCATTCCATATGTCTCCCTCTTGTTTCCCTCTTACCCCACCAGCACACAGTTCGTAAATTCCACAAAGATATTTTAGGCCAGATTCCAATGGCATATACACTAACCTGACTCTTTTTACCTTAAAATAAGTCCTGTTCTGCATATAATTGAGAGTAGAATCCACAACAATATTATTTGTAATACCAGGGAAGCCAGAAGAGGTATTATTATACCTCTGATTTCCCATGCTTCTGGACTTTGCTGGTTGCCCACTCCCTTTTTCTGTTATATGTGTCAAAGTGTCTTTAGACCTTCCCAGAGGCATTGAATGCTGGCTGGGTGGGCTAGGAGCAAAGTCAGAGATTCCTGGCTAGAGGGTCTTGCCCCTCTGCTCAGTGTCAGACCAATTGCCCTATTTGGGGTCAGGAAGGAATTTTACCCCATGGTCATATTGGTATGGGCTATGGAGGATTATACCTTCCTCTATAGCAGGGAGCATGGCCCTCTCTCCAGGATCTCTTGAGTATATACTGACAAACTTTTATAGAAACAGGACATAGGCTACTGTGGTTCTCCTGCTTTACCTGGGGCAGGTTAGTGTGTTAGATCTATGTTGTGTCAAGGTTGATGGTAGTCTTATGTACATTTTAGATTATGGCTGTATGGCACAGTTTGGATAGGGATGATCCTGCCTCAGGCAGGGAGGTCAGACTAGATGACCTCTGGAGGTCTTTTCCAGCCCTATTTCTCTATGAGTCTATAACTATGAAACATATATAACGTACAGTAGGGGTTTGCAACCTTTTTGGATCATTGTACCCCCCGGCAGCCGGACTGTAGGGGCAGCAAACTAAAACTCCTCGAAGGAGTTTTAGCTTGCTATGCCCCAAGTCATTTAAGGTGCATTATGCCACTGAATTTCCTATAGCAGCTGGAATTAATACGCAATATGCCTCCAAGGCATGCAAACACCAATACCACTGAAATGGCGCTAAAGCATTTAGCTCACTTTAAAGTGTCATACACACACACCTTTCGTTTTGTCTACACATGGCCTAAAGCGCCAACCTGCCCTACTATATTTAAAGACATTTTGAACATAATAGAAAATGTTGGTCCATACAATCAGTGCTCCTAACAAAGGGAACAAATGAAGCAAGAGTGCATTTTGATCCACACTGACCCTGCCAATGCAAATTGATTAATAACATTGACTCAGGGCTTGCTGAAAAATCCTCATAGAATTAAATCATCTTTACTGGGTTGCATGGGTCCCTTTCAGGATCTCTTGAGCATATACTGACAACCTTTTATAGAAGCAGGACATTGGCTGTCATGGTTCACCTGCTTTACCTGGGGCAGGTTAGGGTGTTAGGTCTATGTTGGGTCAAGGTTGATGGTAGTCTTATGTACAGTTTAGATTATGGCTGTATGGCACAGTTTAGATAGGGATGATCCTGCCTCAGGCAGGGGGGTCAGACTAGATGACCTCTGGAGGTTCTTTCCAGCCCTATTTCTCTATGAGTCTATGACTATGAAACATATATAACGTAGAGTAGGGGTTTTCAACCTTTTTGGATCATTGTACTCCCTGGCGGCCGGACACAGGGCAGTGTACCCCTGGGTGCCGAGCAGGGGGTGCACAGCCAGATGCCGAGGTGGGGGAGAGCATGCGGTCAGACACAGAGCAGCAGCAGTCACCGCATACAAGATTCCCCCGCCCCTGTGTCCGGCCTGGTGGGTGGCACCTGCACGGCAGCGCAGGATGGTGCATGGTGGCACTCCATCCCCGCCTGCCTGCGAGTACCCCCTAGGGCCTTCTCAAGTACCCCCAGGGGTACACATACCCCTGGTTGACAAGCCCTGAGGAAAGGCATTTTTCTTCTTGTACTCTCCATCATTACTTACACCTATTCAAAGGTGTTATAAACATCTCCTATTAGTAGGGTGACCATATGTCCCAGTTTAGCCAGGACAGTCTTTAATTTCAGAGGCTGGTCCCAGCCAGCTGGTGAGAGTTAAAATGAACATTCTGGAAATGCAAGGACTCAGGGTGCAATCTAGTGAGGAAGCAGAGCAGTTCAGAGTGGCACAGCATGCTAGTCAGGCAGACAGGCAGGCACCATTGCCTGCCTGCCCAGCGCACCATGCTACCCCATCCTCACCTCGGCTTGCAGCAGCACCAATGACTTGTAAAAGGCTGGGGGCAGTGTCCTGGATGTTCTGGAATTCCTTATGGTCAGCCTACCTATTAGACACTTAAATGGACTAATAAACCTATATACAATCATATTCTACTCTGCTTGAGTCCATGAAAAACTGATAATACAAAAGGCAAATGGGCCCTCCTTCTTGCTGTTTTTTTGTAACTTAATCTTAAGACTAAGATGACACCAAGTTACAAAAATATATGCATGAATACATTTTCAGGACTCAAACAGGGTAGAATAGGATCAATCAGGCACCTAAGTCCACTTAAATGTCTAATAGATGGAACTGGATTTGGCTTTTAGGGCCCTGACCCTCCTTTGCCCTGCACAGCGTAAAAAACAGCACAAAGTACCAGACTACCACCCTGGTTCCGTTGGGTTTTATATTCAAATTGCACGTGTACCATTTAGTACAACTCAGTGAAGCATTGGATCGTGTAACTGCAATCTGAGGCATGAAACCTATAGTGAACTCCCAGTGACAAACCCCCTTTAAATGTATAGAGCCTCATCTAATTTGATGAGAGCTGATTTTCTGCTGCAGTAGGCTGGGGTCTGTGTGGGAACAAATATCTTCCCAAGATGAGCTCATTGCAGGATTTGGACAAATTGGCTGCATCCAGATGAGCTCAGAAGTGCGACATGTGGCACCACATACCATATATGCAGGCGTTCCTCATGCTGCTACCTTGCAGTGTTGGGGGGCAGGTTTGACCCAGGGAGATCTCAGGGTCAAAAACCCGACACTGAAAATAAGCAGGGTGGCGTAAGCCATTGTTTCGGAAATGTACTCTAGAGTTAAGAATTACAATTAGCTTACTACACAGTATTGGAGGAGACAGTAGGTCAAGTTTGTACTTTTGACAACACTCAAAAGAGAGAAAAACAATAGAAGTTATTGGTATATCATATTTGAGCCTACCCACCTCAGGCAATGTTTTTCTCAGCATATTGGTTCCTGCACTGTTTGCCTCCTAAAACAGATTAGGGAAAAAGGAGAAACTGAGCGTGGTTTTGCATTATCAAGTTAATACATATTGGAGATTAGTGAAATCCTTGCCTTCAGAAGCGAGCATTATTTTGGACACTCTACAGCTACTAAGAATTATTGACAGTTTTACTTTACCTTTTCTTTATATACATATGTTTGTATGTGAACATATATTAAAAGGAAATCCTACTCCTATTTTTGACATCGTCTTAAAGGTTTGGATATGATTTTATTGATAAAATACCCAGACTTAAAAAAGCCAGTAAACTGTAAAGTTGAAATCACATTCAAATAATTTAAGATAAAAAATGTGCTTATTGAAAAAGAGGGAAGAGATGTAGAAAATCAGAAAATACAGAGTCAAACTTAAACTTAAAAGAACCTAACATATCTAAAAATATAGAAATGAACAGTCAAGGTACCAACAACCATAACTTCACCCTGTAACCATGCCAGCCACCCACTTCCCCTTCTTTGTTCTTTTCATACTTTGTAAGATGCGCTATTTTTGGATCAAGACTTTTTCTAAATGCCACAGGCTGTAGCTATCATACATACAGAAATGCCACTGAATTTTTGCAGAATATTAAAATCTGCCTCACAGACCATTGATTTTATAATTGGTTTTATATACAGATGTATCTGAAACTGTGAGTGGTGTTTTATCACAAAACTAAGTTGATTTTTTTTTTTTAGTGAATGTTCTAAATTCATATTCTGGGCCTCCATTCTTCTACTGAGTTTAATGGGACTTAAGCATGTATTTAAAAGGACGTTATGTTTATGGTACAAGTTAAAGCATTATTCCTTCTACTATAACTTATACTTTGGCATATTTAGAGAGAGGTAGTTGGCCATATTAGTCTGAAGTCAGGCAAAAGCCAAGAAAGGGTTGAACCTTAGAGACTGACTAACTCAGAAGCACATCGTCTTTAAGGGCATGTGTAGACAAAACAAGGGCCTTAAATTGAAGCGGCGGGTTTTCAAAAACACTGCTTCAAATTTAGGGCTGATTAAACCCTGTGTCATGTACTCACCCTGCTGACTTACCTGCCTCTCACTCCGATGGGAAGGGGAGGGCAAGCTACCAGCCAGTGGAGCAGTCCCTGGGCTTTTGGGGGGCTGGTGCTTCCCTCCACGGCAGCAGCAGCCCACCCCCCCCACCCCAAGGCAG